GAAGGTTTTTGATTGCCAACGACTTGCATCACAAGATAAGTATCTATTCTACATTATCATTATTTCTGTATATCTTCAAACCATCTGACACAAGCTTACTTATCACCGTTGTCAATTTATTACATCTTGGCTCAGACGACCGATTCAGGCAGTTCAAATGCAACTATGGCAAATGAGCTATCGACCATGTTCAGCGAAGCTTCGAACCCGGTGTTTTGGGACTCGGCTGCCAACCAGGTCAAGTGTTATACACATAAGATTGGCTTGGTTGTCAAAGCCGGACTCAAGTCCTTAGGTTTGCGTGCTGGCCACATTAAACCTACTACTTCCCCCGGTGTTACATTACCAGCTCCTACCATGACACTCAATCAGGGTGATGAAGATGTCCAGTTTGATTCTTCTGATGACGACCGAGAAGATGATGATCTCGACGAAGATTCCTCACCTATTGACAGCACTTCAGATGATGACTCCGAAAATGGCGGAGATCACTCTTCAATTGCTAAGGCAGTTCGCAAAGTAAGTGATCATTCTGTCTTGATTTTTTCAATCCTTTGACCTCAACCTGACATTTTATCTTCTGATGTAGGCCAAGAAGTTCAATGGTTTATGTATCAGAAGCTCTGCAAGGCGTCAAGAGTTTTTAGCCAAAGCTGCACAGCTGGAGTACAAGGGCCGCTCCCCAATCTCTGGCTGGGGGGTGCGTTGGAATATTGACGCTGACTACCTCAAAAGGTTGTCGGATGCGCGCAATGTAAGTACAATCTATTCTCTGTCTTTATACTCCTCTCGTTCTCATTTTTATCTCTTGTTTGGTAGGTTTTTGATGCAATTCTCCTAAGCAATTGCAAAACCCGTTATTACCAAGGTTTAAACATCACTGGCGAGGAATGGGACTCAATTGAGACCTTGGTAAAAATACTTGAGGTCAGAGTCCTTGAACAACCTTTTTTTTTCATCTTATCTTTATTTACATCTGGCCATCCTTCCACAGGTGTTTCTGTATGCGACCAAACGCATGGAAGGCGACTCTCCAACCGTCTGTCTCTTACTCGCTGAATACTCTCGCATTGTTCTTGAAGTTACTCGTATCCAGACCGACTGCACTGATCCAGACCTCAAGTACATGCTCCAGTTGATGCTTACCAAACTTGAAGGACATCAAGACGAGGCTGTTGCCTCGGATGTGGTTGTCTTGAGTACAATCTTCAATCCTCGATACCGAATTCGATTCTTCGACTTTAATTACCCTGAAGACACTGTCCGAGCCAAATCTTTGTTTTCATCTGTATTCAACAAAGCTCTCGTAAATTGGCCCGAAGATCCTGTCAGCTCAGAGTCAGAAGATGTATCGCAAACACCACCCCCTTCCGATTCAAATCAACCCAACTTTTCCGAGTTTGATGTCTTTACCGCTCAAGTAACTTCTCAATCGCCTGCTGACAAACGCAAGAACGAAATGGTAGAGTACATAGAAGGTGCCCACTTATTACTTGCGGGTCAAAGTGAACTTGATTGGTGGAAGGTCAGTTTGTTCATTTTATTTCACTTTATTTTAGATAAGTTTCTCTCATCTGATAATGTTCCTTCCTTATAGGAGCATGCAAATGATTTCCCCGTACTCGCATCCCTTGCTTGTGACTATCTCGCATTATCAGGCACATCTTGTCCGTGCGAACGCACCTTTTCATCTGCGGCAGATATTGCTGTGCCTAGTCGTGCATCATTGACAGCCAGGATGATTTCAAAACTTGTAGGAGCACGCGAGGGGTTGAAGTCAAAGATACCACTATCAGGCAAATTTGCTGGAGCTGCAGCTTATATAATAGCGTACGAATCTTCTGGCACCAAGTCTAAGAAGAAGAAGTAGTTGATCGTTTCTTCAAGATGTTTTCTTTTCCTTGAATCTTAATAAATTTTCAATATTAAAAAAAATTGTGAACGGTTTTTTCAATTACTTTCTCTTGTTTGCTTCTCTAACTCTTATTTACCTCTACCCCCCTATCACCTAATATTCATTCTCTCAATCAGACTTAGCTCTCAAAAAATCAAAGAAAAAAGTTGTGCCCGTTTTTATCTACCCTTTCAAAACTTTGTGTGTTCTTTCTTTTAGCTCTCAAAAAAACAAAGAAATTGTGCGCGTTTTTCTCAACTTTATCAAAAAATTGTTCTTTCTTTCATCCCTTGCTGCTCATCCCCACTCTGCCATTCATGATTGAGTAATCGATTTGGCTTTAAAAAAAAACGTTGACCACGCTTCTATGCGCTACCCGGTCCCAATTTTGACCATAGCGAGGCGGAGCGATCCAATACCGCGCATCGCTCTACAAGATCATAGCGGACAGGAAATGGTAGCAAAGCGATTTGGCCTCTATGTATAGCGCCAAATCGCTGTGCTCGTAAAAATACCATTTATAGCACAGCGGAGCGGAGCACGTGGGTGTTGTATGTATTGTATGTATTGTACTCAGTGTATGTTTTGTATGGTTTGTATGTTAGGGGGTTTCAAGTTGAAAATGTTTATGTATTTTTGCGCTACAACAAATTGCCTGTTGTTGTAAACTACATGTAATTTCTTAAAGCAGGATTTCCTTTTTAGGTGTCCCAAATTAAAAATACATCACCCAAAAACATCAACCTTGAGACACCTAATTGTGAATATTGTGTATAGTGTACTAGCACAATTGGGCGGCGGGCGCCGCACTGACATTTTTTGTCACAACCTGAAGAACAACTGTGGGGTGTCTCTATAGATATTTCGAGGATTTGGTGCGCTCTCAGGTGCACCTGAACTTTGACACATCTCATTTGTGCATTTTGTGACACACCCTGAATGACTGCATGGTGAACATTGTGTAAAATATAGTATATCCTGCCCTAAGCCTAAGCCTAACCCCTAACCCCTAACCCTAACAGTTCCTAACCAGTTTTCCTTCTTCAGTCTCATCAGCAATTTGAGGTTCTCATCTTCATCATTTTTCCTGGTGTAAAAACATTACAAATTGCCAATCAATGATGCAAAATGATAGTCATTTTGTGTTTCATACCTATCTTGCAATGGTTTTCTCATTATTGCAATACCATAGCATCACCTCTCAAGCTCCTATTTTCACTACGTATCTCACTCCAACCAGTTGAACTTTCAGTTCTTATCAGGGTATCAATGTCTCATGTGAATTGATCAAAAGAAACTAATTGTACAAAGTTTGATGATAGCAAACAATGATCAATGTGGAAAGCAAAAGGTACAAGAAATATCATCAAAGGAAATTTATAATTTGCATATATGTAGTAATACACATCATGTTTAGATGGGTACAGGTTTTCCTACGGGAGGCAACTATTGAAAACAATATTGTGTATCATTTGATTAAATCCAATAAGAGCTCCAGGATCAAAAGTAAAACATGACCTATTGAACTCAAAGCTTTAAACAGAAGAGCGTGAATTATAATGATAATCAAATTGAAGTACTTGTATAAATGTTCAGGACAATAAGTGCAGTTAATCTATAAGCTCATTCATGCCTTTCAAAAAACAATAAGAAGAGATCAATACAAAGATGGAAGAAAAGGAAAAGAGTAGTATATGAGAAATAGACCTTCTTGACATGATGATAAATTGATCAAATAGCCAACTCTTATCATGACTCAATTGAGTCAAATATTCTCAATTGAATATTATGGTCAAGAGCTTCTAAGAACAATATTGGGCCAATATGTGAGTTGCTCATTCAATCTACATAATTTGAGTTGATCAGTCATACTGGAATGTGGATTGTGATAATGTGGATTATACATGAATCATTAATGTGTTGTGTATGATATGACAGCTTTATTTCTTCTGCTTCTTCATTACACAGCATACTAACAAGAATTGTGTCATTTATTGAATCAAATCCAAAGATTTCTTTGGCTAAATTAGGCTGGATCCCAAAAAATATAGATTTACACATTGGATAACATTTAATTGCATCAGGACCAAGTTGAATGTCTGTTGATTCCATATAATTTTTCAGCCTGATTGTTTTGGGTTCTTGGTCTGTAGATTGTGGAATTCTTTCTTTTATATGATTTGATAATGATTTTGTGTGATTTAAAAAATGGAATGTTTGATTTGTTGAGTCATTTGATAGCCTCCGTTGATAGCTTGAGATAATGATCCATTGGTTTTTCTAGGTCCTGGCACAAATGCAACCAAACAAAATCTAGGTGACATCAATTCAAGACTCTATAAAGATTGAATAAATATTTGAAGTGAGTATCACAGTGTTATGAAAAAAAGACAAAAGAAAAGCAAACTTGAAAGTGAGGTCCAGTTGAAGATGAATGACTATCAATTGAGAATTTAGTTGAGATTACTGAATTGTTTGGAATGAAAAATGGAGCTGAATTTTAACACTTTTGAAGTTTAACGCTTGATGCCTTTTCATCATTCATATTTTGGAAATTTTGTGTTTTAGTAAAGAGGTGTTGATGATTATGTTAATATTACATTGCTCAAGTTGTTTGAATCACAAGAATTGAAGCTTGATCAAGTTCTTGTTCATAAAGATCTATACAAAGTACTTATCCATTGATGTTTTCAATATCAGTTGTTGCTGAGCACATCAAGCAGGCCCACTCAAAAGTCATTTAGGGGTTTATATCTGGAGCTTCTGGATTATTATCCATAGTACTGAAACACATCAAGCAATATCTTTCATCTTGAAATGATGATGTGGAAGCAAGTCATGAGCATTTGAAAGTGTGCTGTAACTTCAATAAGAAGGACCATCCAACATCCTCAATATTTTGACCTTATGATTGCAAAAAATTCACTGCATGGTCTTTTTCTCTTGACTGATAGCTTTTGCAATACCCCTTGGTTCTTCAATTTGCCACCAATGACTAATTCCTGCCACAGGGTTTTGTATCCAAAAGCTTTTTGGTGATCAATGATAAACCTATATTTCATGTTTATTTCATTTATCTTTAATCATACTACAACACATTTCCATTTCATCCGTCTGCATCAATCTTACAAAGTAATAACAACATAAGAGGTATATCCTCATATGATTTTTCTTTGCATTTTTGATCCATATCAAAAACAGTTGCATGGATTTTTTATCAGATTCTTTCCATATGAGAAATTTCATTCTTGACTAAACTCTTTATCATACATCTTCAAGATTCCAACAGATTTCTCAATGATAAATTTATATTCAACTTTTGATAAACTGGTGGCCAACTTCTCATGATATCAAACTTCAAAGAAAGGTAAAAATCAAATTCAATCATTGATTTTAGAAGTGATAGATGCAATGAAGTTTAGAGACTTACATTGCTAAACTTTCCTTATCATTTGATGAAAGAAAATTGCAATGTATATTTGCAGATAATGGTTGCTTGGATGCTTACTTCACATCAGAGATCTAGAGTTCATGACCTGACCAAAGGAGATGATGACCAACCATTGGTTGTATTGTTTGACTAAAAGAGACAATATGGTAAGTTTAAAGATAAAGGTATTGTAGAAGTTGAATGTGACAGAATAAAGTCACTCACCAAACGGATCATGTACAAACTGAACAGTTAATGCACTTTTATCAACACCACCTCCTACAATCAATAAAAAGCATGTGAAAGAAGGATAAACTGAAGTTTAAAGTTAAGTATCTGTTTAGACAAAATTGAAAGAGATGTAAAGAGAACTAACCTCCCAAAATGATAAGATATGCAAATGGAAACTTGTGAAAAATGATTATGTCTTTTCAAGATTTGGTGGACTTGAGCTTCTTGATTTGAGAAGTTGAAAGTCGTGGTAAAGGAGTAAGGTAGTGGTGGTGATAGAGGATCCGATGGAGAGGTTGGCATGATACTTTCATCTTTAGTATCATCATCCTCTTCTAAAACTTCACTTAAACCTTGAGTTTGAGCTTCCTTGGCTGCCAAAGAACAATATCGAGTGAATTTTCCAATCAGAGGCGGATGTGATGGTCCAAGTCCATAAGTGGGATCATAAGATTCAGCACAATCAGGTACCAAAGTAGGTGATGGAGATTGATCTTGAATTCTGGTTCCACCACAGATGAAGGTCTTGAAGATAAAAGAGGAGAAGGCAAATAGGGCTTTGTTGAAGGGTTGGGATTGATCTGCTTAGATGAAATGATAGATGAATAATTAGATTGAGGTTTATTCCAATGACAACTAAGGTGATGATCAATGATCCCAGGTAAATCAGTCCTGAACAATTCTCGTAATTGATGTTTGATTTCAGATTGAACAAAAGCTCGAACAGCTAAAACCAAATCAAATGTTGACAAAACTTGTACACCCTTTAATGGATTGTTTTTAAATACCAATGTAATGCCTTCTAATCTTAAAATTATCAGCACTGCAATTGCTCAAAGTTTTAAACATGATAATTTTGAATTCATAGTACTATTGAAGGTGTTGATGCCAATGAAATCAAAGGGTTTGAAATTATAAACCAACACCTTGAAAAATGCAAACAACTTGGCAATGAATGTATATTTTTTTTACTTGTTCTTCCTGTGGTCTTCTTTTTCTTATTGATTCTCAGTTTGTAATGTTGAAGCGGTTGAAGCAGAGTTTTAATTTGGCTGGTAAGGGTTTTGTTGATTCTGGTTTTGCCGATTGAATTTATCTGACTCAAAAAACAATAAAAACTGACATCCAATCTCCAAAACAACTCTTTCTGATAATAAAATTCCAGAGTAAGTTACTCAGATCAACATGAAATCTGAAACTCAATGCCAGAAAGAGGCTATGTATTCACCCATGAAGCCAGCATCCTCCTGTTCACCCATAAGAGCTGATCTAGCCAATTCAAAGTCACACATCTGATCAAAGAATAAAAAACAAATCACATCAGGTTTGAGAAGAAATCACATCAGATTTTCTGAGATCATCACTGATCTGATGTTTAACTTAATATCACATTTTGAAAACAGAAAAATTATATAGATTGTTGGATCACAGAGCTTTCATCAAAAATCCACCTGAATGGATAAGGATTCAATTAGTCTCCATATGCCTTCACCAAACTGAGAATAAAAATGCTCACCACCAGATCATCAAATCTTGATTGAATTTAAATCTCAATTCAGATCAGTACACCCAGATCTCTTCCCACTCTTGGGTTTGTTGATCTTGATGTGATATTGTCAAATCCTTTGAGATTTGAGATGATAATTGATTCAAGATGGTATGAAGTTATGACCAATGATTTCCTTCATCTTGCTGTTTTTTAATCTAGTTCACTTGAAGTTTCAGGCCTGAAAATTGTTTGAGAAAGCTGCTAATTTGGTTGTTGAGTGAGTGGGTAGAGAGAATGATCAATGGTTTATGATTTGTGGATGTGTACTAATCATAGTTGGGGTGGCGGTAAGTGCATAGTGGTGCTATGTGTGAGTATAAGATAATTTGGACACAGGTTAAGAGTTTTGTCCAGTTTTGTTTGAATTGATTGTTCTCCGTCAATACGTATATCTTCAAGCATTTTTAAGTCTAATGATGTAGACTTTTATGAATACACCAAAAACAGGGGGGAAGATACATTGAAAAGGTTGAGGAGTTAGGGTTTGTAGTCTCAAAACTTGCTGATGATGATCAATTAATTGGATTACTTTCAAGTTTTGAATTCATATTTGGAAATCTTCTCTTCAAATTTCCAGTCATCTCAAGGCTGTCTTTTCTGTTCATATGATTTTGACATTTAAAAACACTCATGGATGGACGAATTGATAAAGCCAAATCAACTATTCATGACTTTTTCCCATGGTGGATATATATTGTTTCATTGCATCCACCTCAAAAGCCCTTCAGAGAGATGAAGTTGACAATTGAAAAGTTGAAAAAATCCATTGTGATACTATGCAGACCAAGAAAACAGAAACAGCAAGTTGACACATGGGAGGAAAATGAAAAAAACATATTGATTTTCCATGGTGGATAGAGATATATTAGTATGATACATTGGGAAATTTTGATGACAAACATGCAAACATGTCAATCAATTCATACAGTATGACAAATATAAAGAATTTGAAGCATTTGATAAAACAGTCAAGTCTGATTTGATGCCTTCCTTTTTTTGTTTGAATGTTATATGATTGAGAATAGTTGATTCTGGATAGATGTGATGACCTTCTTGCTTTTGTTTAATGAGATTGATATCTGAATTAGACATAACTTTATATCATATAATGCAAAATGATGGTTTGATGATACTCTAATCAATATTGATTTTTCCTTTGCTTATCCTATTGGGATCAATTTGAAGTAATCTTTACTTTTGACCGACTTCAATTCATGATTGTAAGTAGTTTCTAATATCTTTTTTCTTTACATATTACTAACTAAATTTTTCTTTTCTTGATCTGTTTGATCGTCCTGGTTGCTTCTAGAGCTTTTGAGATTGATTGATAAGTGCTTTTGATTTAAGTTGTTTCTTCTTTAAAATCAAATAACGAATCGATTGAAGACTTGAAGAATTGAATCGACCCAAGAATTGATCGATTGAAGAATTGAATTGATCCAAGAATTGATCGATTTAAAAACCAACAAAAGAAAATGAACTCATTTTTTTAAACAGATTGAGAATTTAAATCAAATTAAGCAGAAGATTTAGCAAATCAAGTAGATCAAAAGAAGAAAAAGAAGAGAAAAGAAGAAAACATAAAAGTTGAAGATTGAAATTGAATTTATTGATCAAGACAGTGCGAAGATGGAGCGACCGATCTGCATCAAGCGGAAGAAAGAAAACAAAATTTAGTAAATTAAATCACATTAAATTCAATTGGCCGAATGGATCAAAACCAACAAAGCAAATAGAAGAAAAGAGAGGAGGAAGAAAAGAACTTACATTGGGAATTTGAATCGGAATCGATCAATCTTAAAACACTGGAAGCAACAGCATCATGAAATCAAAAAATCGAAATTGATGTGCTTGATTGAGAATGGGTTTTGGATGATTCAAAAGCTTATAAACTTGATAGACTGTTCAGTAAAGATTGGTGGCTAAAGTCCATTTGGATAGGTTTCGGGGGGTCAAGGAAAGATTGGCGACAGTGGAATTGGTATTGGAGACTGGGTTTGAAGGAGTCAGATTGCCGATTGCCGTGTTGGATTGGTTGAAGAGTCAGTTTCATCATTTGGATCAATTGATGAATTGTTTTTTTAGGTTCAAGTTTGTTGAAGACACGTTTATAATCATATTGGAATACTCAGTTGTATGATAGTAGTATGAATTAATTTGAATGAGAAGTCTGACTGGTGATTTATTTTGAAGGTCCAGTTGGTAATTGGATTAATTGCTTGTGGTTTGAGTTTCTTGTTCTCCAGTTTCTGATAACTTGTGACCTTGTTCTAGCTGGCGTTGATGATTATCTCAATAAATCTGCTCCGCCAAAGATGATCGACTCAATATGATGAGGGGATGGATTATCGACCACTGCTTTGATTGGGTTGACTGAGAAGTTGCAGACTGTAGAAGAGAAATGATGTCATAGAAAATAGATGATATATGATGAGGTTGTAAAGTTATTTGCCCCAGGACAAAACTTTGGCAGCTCAAAACTGTCAATTTTTCAAGCAGGGGGGAGGTTTTGTTGAGTTTTGTTCGAATTGATAGTTCTCCTTTAATGTTTATGATATATTTACGGTACTCAAAGCAAGTATGTACGTGTACATACTTTGTGCTACATATTTTTTTTGGTGGGGAAAAAACAAAAATACACTTTTGGTCTTGTTTTCCCCACCAAAAAAAAGTATGTGGCAAAAAGTATGTACATGTACATACTTGCTTCGAGTACCCTAATTGTATATATTGTATATATTGTAAATATTGTGCATAGAGTATATAGAGTATATAGTGTATATATTGTATATATTGTATATATTGTATATATTGTATATATTGTGCATAGAGTATATAGTGTATATAGTGTAGATATTGTATATATTGTATATATTGTATATATTGTGCATAGAGTATATAGTGTATATATTGTATATATTGTATATATTGTATATATTGTATATAGTGTATATAGTGTATATATTGTATATAGTGTATATATTGTATATATTGTATATATTGTATATATTGTATATATTGTATACTGTATATACTGTATATATTATGGGGCTTCAAGTCAAGAAATCTATGGTATTTTAAAGTTCAATAAGTTACCTGATGTTTCAAAATATACTGTAAGTTTAAAAAAATCAGGGCACCTGATTGGGACACATAATATATACAGTATAGACAGTATACAATATATGCAGTATACAATATATACAATATATATAATATAAAATAAGGGTACTCAAAGCAAGTATGTGGCACTACACATGTGGCACCACACACTTTTAAATTTTGTTTCTGACAGGCAAAATGAACTAAACTCACATTTTGAAGCACATAATTTGCCAAATATGACTCAAAATGTCCTTTTCTTTAACTCGTCATTGTATTTTCTGTGTCAAGAGTGGAATTCAAAAAGTATGTGGCAACATGTATGTAGCGCTACATACTTGCTTTGAGTACTGTTAATGTATATTGATTGGATTGCATGTATCTACGGTACTCAAAGCAAGTAAATCTATGTATATAGTTCCCTGTATATAGTTTTTCTGGGCGGGAAATACTTCCAAGAGTAGATTTTTGTTGTTTTCCACACCAAAAAAAGTAGATCAAAAACTATATACACATACATATCACTGCAAATATAATATGTTTCTCTGAGGTGAAAAATGATGAAAAGTGCATTAAATCTACATTAAATCTACATTAAATCTACATTTTGGTGCATTAAATCCGTATTATTAACCATTTTGTGCATCAAGTCCAATCATTTTGCACCTTGGAAAAACACATTATATTTGTAGTGTATGTAGCTTTGTGTACTGTCAATGTATGTATTGTAACTTTGGTATGTACTAGCATCAGATGATTCTGCTCACATCTATCATTGATTTGGAATGCATTGAAACATACTTTATGTGATGTAATGTATGTAATGTATGCCTGGTAAATAGTGTATGTGTGATATGTATTGAATTTATGATATGTAGTGTATGTAGTGTATATATTGCATATATTGTATATATTGTACATATTGTATATATTTTATATATTGTATATATTGTATATATTGTATGTATTGGGTATATTCGGTATCTTGGGTATATTGCATATATTGTATATATTAAGGGTACTC